AAATACACGGGTCTCCGGGAGGCATTCAACATCCAAACCATGGCACTTTCCCTTACTTCCCAGAACGACCATGGTAGCCCCACAGACGCACACAAACACACGAAAACCCAAAACTTTGCAGAAAAACACTGGCGATTTTGTTTTTTCAGTACTGTTTCATAGGGGAGATAGCTCACTTGGGGGCCTGAGTTTGGTCTCCAGGACCCTCATAATAAAAGCCAGAAATGGAGCAGTGTGGTGGTGGCGCACACCTTTAATCCCAGCACTCAGACAGAAGCAGGTTGATGTCTGTGAGTTTGAGGCCAGCTTGGTTGGTCTACAGAGTGAGTTTCAGGACAGTCAGGGCTACACAGAGAAACCCTGTCTCAAAAGAACAAACAACAAAAACCAGGAATGATAGTGTGTGCTTATAATTCCATCACTAATCACTAGGAAGGTAGAGACAGGTAAGCTTCCCTGGGGCTTACTTGGTAAGTTCCAGACCAGTGAGATAGTCGGACAAAAAAAAAAAAAAAAAAAAGTAGGTAACACCTAAAGAATAATGCCCAAGGTTGACCTCTGGCCTCCATAAACACACACATGATAGCAACAAGACCAAATTTAAAAAGAGGTGAGCATAGCTGTTTTCTGACCAAAAACTATACAGCTAGAAGAGGAAGATCTGCGGCTGATAGAAGTGGTTTCGGTACTACCCTCCTTCCCCTGGCCCTTGACTCCCACTCCTGACTTCTAAAGTGTGGCACAGCAGTGTCCTGGGCATGACTCTATGGTGTGGAGACTGTGTAGAGAAAGCATCTCATTATTAGCACAGTGCATTGAGCACATATTAAGACAGGTCAACTGTAGTTACACCTCAGATACTGAGCCTATCTTGTACCAAAGCATAGTACTACTTACTCGGGACAGATGCTTAAAATAGAAGGTATGGGTGCTAGAGACTTGGCTAGTGCACATCCAGAAGACTCAAGTCTGGCTCCCAGAGTCCCAGAATTGAGTGACTCACAGCTGCCTCTAACTCCAGCTCCACGGAAGCAGGGTCCTCCTGCCCCACATGTGTGACATTCCCTCACACAAATACACACATGTACACGTGAGTAAAACTTAAAAGAAGGGTTACACTCTGTAGTCTGGTTTTGGATACCAAATACATGTGTACTTTCCTCTTTAAAATTCCTTTGAAATTTCCAAACAGACACTGAAGAAATCCAGAGAATCATCAGGCCCTTATTCAAAAACCTGTACTTCAAAAACTGGAAAACTTTAAGGAGATGGACAATTTCCTTGATAAGTAACACATACACCAAAGTTAAATCAAGAACGAATGAACAACTTAAATACCCCTACAGCCCCTAAGGAAATAGAAACAGTTATCAATAGTCTCCCAACCAAAAACCGTCCAGGCCCAGATGGATTCAGTGCAGAATTCTACCAGATATTCAAAGAAGATCTAATACCTATACTCCTCAAAGTGTTCTACACAATAGAAACAGAAGGAACATTGCCAAACTCTTTTTATGAGTCTCCAGTCACCCTGATACCCAAACCACACAAAGGCACAACTAAGAAAGAGAATTATAGACCCATTTCCCTCATGAACATAGATGCAAAAATACTCAATAAAATACCGGCAAACTGAATTAAACAACACATCAGAAAAATCATCCACCATGACCAAGTAGGAGTCATCCCAGAGACACAGGACTGGTTCAACATACAAAAATCCATTAGTGTAATCCACCATATAAACAAACTTAAGGAAGAAAAACCCACATGATCATCTCACTAGATGCTGAAAAAGCCTTCGACAATATTCAACACCCCTTAATTATAAAGGTCTTAGAGAGAACAGGGATACAAGAGCATACTTAAACATAATAAAGGCAATATACAATAACCCAACAGCCAACATCAAACTAAATGGAGAGAATCTCAAAGCAATCCCACTGAAATAAGGAACAAGACAAGGCTGTCCACTCTCTCCATATCTATTCAACATAGTACTCAAAGTTCTAGCTATAGAAATAACAGCAAAAGGAGATCGAATGGATACAAATTGGAAAAGAAGTCAAACTCTCGTTATTTGATGATGATGATAGTTTACATAAGTGACCCCAAAAATTCTACCAGAGAACTCCTATAACTGATAAACCCCTTCAGTAATGTAGCAGGATACAAGATTAACTTAAAAAATCAGTAGCCCTCCTATATACAGAAGACAAACAAGCTGAGAAGGAAATCAGAGAAACATCACCTTTTACAATAACCACAAATAACATAACATTCCAGTGTAACTCTAACTAAACAAGAGAAAGACCTGTATGACAAGAACTTCAAGTCTTTAAAGAAATAAGATACCAGAAAATGGAAAGATCTCCCATGTTCTTGGATAGGTAGGATTAATGTAGTAAAAATGATAATCCTACCAAAAGTAATTATAGATTCAATGCAATTCCCATCAAAATTCTTCACATACCTTGAAAGAACAATACTCAAATTCATATGGAAAAACAAAAAACCCAGGACAGCCAAAACAATCCTGTACAATAAAGGATCATCTGGGGGCATCAGCATCCATGAAATCATGCTCTACTATAGAGCTATAGTAATGAAAACAGCTTGGTATCGGCATAAAAACAGACAATGGAATCGAGTCAAAGACCCTGATATCAACCCACACACCTATGAACACCTAATTTTTGACAATGAAGCTAAAATAAAATGGAAAAAAGAAAACTCATTCAACAAATGGTGCTGGTATAACTGGCTGTCAACATGTAGAATGCAAATAGATCGACATTCTATCATCTTGCACAAATCTCAAATCTAAATGGATCAAATACCTCAATATAAATGCATCCACACTGAACCTCAAAGGAGAGAAAGTGGAAAATACATTTGAACACATAGGCACAGGAGACCACTTCCTAAATAGAACACCAGTAGCACAGACACTGAGAGCAACAATTAGTAAATAGGACCCCATGAAACTGAGAAGCTTCTGTAAAGCAAAGAAGATGGTCAACGAGACAAAACGGCTCCCTACAGAATAGGAAAAGATCTTCACCAACCCCACATCTTTCAAAGGGCCGATCTCCAAAATATACAAAGAACTCAAGAAACTAGGTATCAGACTGCCAAACAATCCAGTTAAAAAATGGGGTACAGATCTAAACAGAATTCTCAACAGAGCAATCTCAAATGGCCAAAAAGACAATTAAGGAAATGCTCAACATCCTTAGTCATCAGGGAAATGCAAACCAAAACCTCTCTGAGATTCCATCTTACACTGATCAGAATGGCTAAGATCAAAAGCACCAATGACAGCTTATGCTGGAGAGGATGTGGAGAAAGGGGAACACTCCTCCATTGCTGGTGGGAGTGCAAACTTGTACAGCAACTCTAGAAATCAGTATGACAATTTCTCAGAAAAGTAAGGATCGACCTACCTCAAGACCCCACAATACCACTGTTGGGCATATACCCAGAGAAAGCACATTCACATTAGGTGCACAAGAACATTTGTTCAACTATGTTCATAGCAGCATTATTTGTAATAGTCAGATCTTGGAAACAGCCTAGATGCCCCTCAACTGAAGAGTGGATAAAAAAAATGTGGTATATTTACACAATGGAGTACTACTCAACAGTAAGAAACAATGGCATCCTAAACTCACAGGCAAATGGACAGAACTAGAAAAAAGCATCCTGAGTGAGGTAACCCAAAACCAGAAAGACAATTATAGTATGTAGTCACTCATAAGTGGATACCAGACATCAAGCAAAGATACCCAGCCTATAATCCATAACCCCAAAGAAGATAGAACCCTCTTCCAGAAATAGACGAGAGCAGATGCAGAAATCTACAACTAACCAGTGGGCCAAGCTCCTGGAGTACAATCCACATGAGGGAGGAGCGATAATATGAACAAAGGAGTCCAGACCATGATGGGGAAACCCACAGAGACAGCTGACCCGAGCCAGTGAGAGATCCCTGACTCGGGTCTGACAAATGGGGAACCTGCGTAAGACCAAACCAGACTCCCTTAATACAGGTGACAGTGGTGTGACTGGGACAGTGTATGAGGCCACTGGCAGTGGGTCCAAGATCTAACTCTAATGCACAAACTGACTTAGTGGAGCCCATTCTATATGGAGATACCTTACTCAATCTACAGGGGTGTGGGGTGGAGAGGTGCCTTAGTCCTGCCTCAATGAAATGATGGGGTAGACTTAATAGTCTTCTTAGGGGGGGCCTTACCCTCTCTGAGGAGCAGAGGGGGGGCAGGGGAAGCAGAAGGAGGGGAGAGAGGATGGACTGTGATTGGAATGTTAAAAAAAAAAGTAGGGGGAATGTCTTTGAAATTTCTAGTATGTGGTCTTGCCTGTCATTTGCAGAGACATTAGGTCATACAGTCAGGAGTAAGCTATCTGTTGGGTTTATAAAGGAATTCTGGTGAACTCTCAAGATGATCTATTCATGAATGGGTTCTATAGCTGTAGCATTAAAGGACTTTTATAGGAATTAACTATTTAGAAACTGATGGAGAAAGTAATAGCAGTTTCTTTGAGGAAATGTGAAACAGATGCCTAAGACAAAGATCTTTGTGATAAATGGATGCTGGACTTACTTGCCTTATTTTAAGTGGGGGCCTGAAAGTAGGCTGTTTCAGAGTTCCTTCTTAAAAGCCAGGCATTCTTCATAAAGAACCCCAGGTGTTCAGCTACAAAGGCTAACTTCCTCCTTTCTCTGCTGCTGCCGGTTGATGAGTTTGTGTGGTCAGTGTGATGGCAGTGATGCTCACAGACCTGTTGTACCACCGCCCACCTGACCTTACTCTGCACTAGCAAGCTAACTAAGTCCTCTTCTAACTAGACGATAAAGCCGAAGGCTGGAGCAGTCATCGCAATGCAGACCGCTCTCAAACCACAGACCCCACAGGCAGTCATGGCATCCCAGGAGAGAGCTAGAGCACTGACTGTTCTTCCCCGCCCCTCTCCAGGGCCCCTGAGATCATCCTTGGTCTGCCATTCTGTGAATCAATTGACATGTGGTCCCTTGGCTGTGTCATTGCTGAGTTGTTCCTGGGCTGGCCGTTATATCCCGGAGCTTCTGAATATGATCAGGTAGGTATGGGTGACACAGGAACTCACTGTGTGACCATTCTCTATCCAGAAAACCCTGGATTACCATGTCACTTAGAACCTGACACGTGATTATATTGTTTTGTTTTGTTTTTGTTTTGGGGGGGGGGCTTCTCTATGTAGCTTTGGAGCCTGTCCTGGAACTCACTATGTAAACCAAGCTGGCCTTGAACTCACAGAGATCCACCTACTTTGGTCTCCCGAGTGCTGGGATTAAAGGCGTGCAACGCGACTGCCCAGCCACTATGATACTCTTATGGGCTGACTGACTTGCCTCTCTTGCCTGGCTTCCTGTTATTCCCCCCTCCCCCCACACCTTCGTGTGTGTGTGTGTGTGTGTGTGTGTGTGTGTGTGTGTGTGTGTGTGTGTGTGTGTGTTTCTTTACTCTTTCTTCTTTTCCCTCTAAAACTAATAATTCCATTTTCCCCAAAGCCACTAGAGCCATCAGTATACCATATGTACAGTGACAGGAAAAGCCCTGACCTCTTTTTCATCTTTTCTTGCAGATTCGGTATATTTCACAGACACAAGGTTTGCCAGCTGAATATTTATTAAGTGCAGGGACAAAGACAACTAGGTTTTTCAACCGTGACACAGACTCTCCGTATCCTTTGTGGAGGCTAAAGGTAAGAAAAGGGCCCCTCCCTTCCGTGCTGGTGGCCAATAGTGAAGAGAAAGGAAAAACAAAAATGAGCTTTTGATATTTTCAAATTGATAGCTTGAATTTGGCCAACAAAATGGGGATGCAGGATACAGTTGTGAATACAAGATGTGGCCGGATCTGAATGTTTAAAAACACCTGTTTCTTTGGCCTACTGCTGCCGGAGAGGCTGTCTCCCATGGTAGCTCTATCAGTGTGGACAGATACAGGACACTTTCAGAAGAACCAAAGTCTCCCTCTCTTCAGGGTGACAAGACCCTGGGGCAAAGCAGGGGCTCAAACTTGAGACTCGGTGACTAAGAGAAGCGTCTCACCAGGTTTTGCCTTTTCCAATAGACACCAGACGACCATGAAGCAGAGACTGGGATTAAGTCAAAAGAAGCGAGGAAGTACATTTTCAACTGTTTGGATGATATGGCCCAGGTGAGCTCCATGGCTGAGTGTGCTGCACAGCTTTAACCACTGCAGGGCGAGGCATGGTGGGCGTGTCTTTATCCCATCACTCAATCCTTGAGAGTTTGAGGCCGGCCTAGTCTGCATAGTGAGCTCCAAGACAGCTAGGGCTAAATAGAGGGACCCTGTCTTAAAACAAACAAACAAACAAATAAATAAATAAATAAAAGCCCACCAGCAGAGAGATTGATTTGAGAGCAGGGCATGGTAGGAGCCCCGTGACCCTGCTGTGCTTAATGCTTTGCCTTTGAACAATATGGGCCAGACTTGGGTGGGGGCAACCATTTGGTACATGAAACCAACCCCTTAAAAAGGAGCTCCATTAAAGAGACTCAGAGATCCACAGCCAAGCACTGGGCCAAGCTCTGGGATGCCTGTTGAAGAAATAGAGGAAGGATTTTATGAGGGGGAGGGTGGTATGAAGGTCTTGACAGCTGAGTTTAGGGGAGCTCACTGACTCTGGACAGACAGCTAGGGAGCCTGCATGGGACCGACCGAGGCCCTGTGCATGTGTGTGGCAGTTGTGTACTTTGGTCTGTTTGTGGGGCTCCAGCAGTGGGACCAGGACCTGTCCCTGGTTCTTGAGCTGGCTTTTGGGAACCTATCCCATGCGGGTTGCATTGCCCAACCTTGGTGCACCTTGCTTTTTGACTCCCGTGGAAGGCCTGCCCCTTTCTGAACAGAGTCAGAGGAGGAGCAGAAGGACAGGGGGGAGGGGAAACTGTGGTCGGTATGTAAAATAAATGAAAACAAAACAAAGGAAAAAATATTGCTACTTTTTAAGATAATAGCTAACCTTACTAATGTTTTCTTCTGTGTTGCTAAAAGGGCCTGAACCCAGGGTCTTGTGTGTACTAGGCCGGCACTCAGTGCTGAGCTGAGGAGTCCAGCCTGTGGTTCAGTGTGTCAGTCTCTTTGGGCCTCTATAACAAGATAGAGTGAATTGGATTCTCTCATAGTTCTGGAGGCCAGAAGCTAAAAGTGTGGCGTAAGGCCCTGGTGAACACCGTCCATATGCCTGGCTTCTCATGGCCCCTAGCAGCCTCAGAATCCCTTGCTCAGAACTGCTTCACTCTAACCCAGCCTTATTTGCCACGTGGCTATGATCCCAGTGCCAGATCTCTTCTCTTATAAAAGCACTGGTTATTGGATTCAGGACCATCCTAATCCAATATGGCCTCATCTTAACTTGATTCTATCTGCAAAGACCCTCTTTCCAAACAAGGTCACATTTATAGCTTCCACAGATTAGGACTGGAATTTAAGCTTTTAGGGGAATCCAATTCAGAGCACTATACTCAGTTACTGTCCACTCACAAGAAGAGACTTTTCATCCACTGCAGATGTCTTCCTACCTTTGTATCAGAGATAATTCCACATCTGTGGGTATTTTTATTTAGAGACTAGTCCAAACTCAGAATGAGGTTTCCTTTAAAATGCTGAGAAGTAAAGCTGTAGCCCAATAAACACTTCTCAACCTCTTAGCAAAGATAAGTGTAACCAGAGCTGCTGATTCTGAGTAAAGTACACTTGTCAGTTGATTAGTAACTTAAATGGTCTGTGAAAACTGAAATTGCTTTCCAGAACCCCTCTTGGAAAAAGCCTTTTAAAGGCTGTGCTGGTAGATGCCTGCCTCTGGGAAGGAGTCCTGTGTTCAGGCCCACTGGCATGAACACAGGAACGGAAATCATTCTGGCCCCAAATCTGGGAGCCATGGGAAGGAAGGGGAGACCCAGGCTCTTCCTTGCCCTCCAGAGCTGAGCAAACTTTTTCTATCTTCTTATACTGCTTTATCTTAGAACTTTTGAGGTGTGTGTGTGTGTGTGTGTGTGTGTGTGTGTGTGTGTTTATTTCTTTGTTTTTGTTTGATTGTAGTAAAACACATTCAGCATAAAGTTTCTCATCTTAGCCTTTTTTAAGCATAAAGTTCAAGAGTGTTAAGTACATCCACACTATTATGCAATCAGTCTCCAGAACCTTTCATCCTGTGGTTATTTTTAATAAGGTGTGATATAAGCTGCATTTTGCTTGGCCAATTAAAACAGGAGCAGTTTTGTACCTTGTCACTGGGATATATTTGCAGGGGTCAACCATGGTGGCCTCTTTCTGCCCCCATCCCCACCTGGTGCCTGAGTGCCTCAGCCACTCTGTTCCTTCAGTATAAGAAGCCACAACCAGGGGCTGGAGAGATGTCTCAGAGGTTAACAGCACTGACTGCTCTTTCAGAGGACCTGAGTTCAATTCCCAGCACCCATATGGTGGCTCACAACCATCTATAATGAGGTCTGGTGCCCTCTGCTGGCCTGCAGGCATACATGCAGGCAGAACACTGTATGCATCATACATACATATATACATACATACATACATACATACATACATACATACAGCCATGACCTGTGGACAGTAGCAACACACAAGACTTTGTCTTCCATTGGGGGCAGTTTACCCTCTGGCAACTGGGAGGACAGGCTTGAGATAGAGGAGGTTACAGGCTGCGCTCTGGCTCTTACCCATCCCTGCTTACTTCCAGGTGAACGTGACAACAGATTTGGAAGGGAGTGACATGTTGGTAGAGAAGGCAGACCGACGGGAATTCATTGACCTGTTAAAGAAGATGCTGACCATAGACGCTGATAAGAGGGTCACTCCCATTGAAACCCTGAACCACCCCTTCGTGGCCATGACGCACTTGCTTGATTTTCCGCATAGTACACAGTAAGTGCCCTCGTTGGTCCTTTGCACTAGGGGCAGGGTTTCCAAGGCCCAGATAGTAAACACTTTTTAGCCCTCTGGTTTCCGCTGCTGCGCCACAGTTCTGTTACAGTTGAAAGCAACTGTGATATATCACATAAGCAAAGTTGGGGTCTGCATTCCCAGGAAGCGCCCAGAAAACGTGTAAGGGCTGGACTGGGCCTAAGACTGTAGTTGTACCAAAAAGGAGGGAACGTGGCACATGGGAGACCTTGGGGCCGGATGAACTCAGATGTCAGTGCGCAAAGAAAGTGAGCAAACAGCGCTGCCTTATCAGTAATCTGGGGGGGGAGATGTCTGTAGCATCTTGCAACTGGGAGGGTGCTGATAACTTAGTGACAGCCATTTCCAAGCAGAAACTCGTTCAGCATGTTGAAAGGTGAGTGAGTAGAGAAGTAGATGGCAACCTTACAGGGGTGATTACAGGGGTGATTACAGGGGTGAGGCTGTGAAAAGGGAGGGAGGAAACAGAATGGCAAAGGGCTAGAGGAAAGATGCTTGTGACCAGTTTCTTCTGAGCTGGTGTTTAAGCTGAGTGGAGAGGTGGGCCCTGCCACTTAAAAATGGCAAGAAGAGGCATGGGCGTCCACAGGTGTACCGGATAGCAGAAGGAAGTTAAGGGGGTTCTGTCCCACAGCTTTTGTCTCAGAAAAGAGGAATGATGCTTTAAAATTGTGCTGCAGCTGGAGAGGGGCTCGGGGATGAAGCATTAGCACACAGGTGTGAGGGCTGGGGTTGGGACCTCTAGCTCCCACATAACTGCCAGGTGGTCTGCCCATAACCCTAGAGCTCAAGAGGTGAAGAGAGAAGACGCCACGGGCAAGCTGGCTAGCTAGACCACTTGAAGGGTAGTCAAGAAAGGTAATCCGGGGCTAGAGAGATAGCTCAGTGGCTAAGAGCCCTTCTGCTTTTTAGACGACCTGGGTTTGAGTCCCTGCACCCACGTGGTAGCTAACAGCTACCTGTAACTTTTGTCTCAGGGGACCCAGTGCCCTCTTCTAACCTCCCCAGGCACCAGGCAAACATATAATGCACAGACAAACAACATAGCCAATGACCTGGAGAGATGGCTCAACGATTAAGATCGCTTACGGCTGGCTCTTGCAGCTCCCAACATCCACATCAGGTGGTTCACACCCATCTGTAACTCCAGCTCCAGAGCATCCACTGCCCTATGGCTTCCTCAGACACACATATGATGCACATAAATTCACGCATGCACACACACATACACATATAAATACAAGTAAATAAATAAATCTTTTAAAGAATAAACAAAGATATTGTGTCAAGCTCTGCCCTTCGTATCTATACATATACACACACAAACACACTTACTTAGTCTCACACACACACATGCATATGCAAAAAAAAAAGAATGTTAGGAAAGAAAGAGAAATTGCAAAAGGGGGGCAGAAGGAGGGAGGAAGTCGATCAAGGGAGCAGAAGGTGACAGCACGCTAACCAGAGAAATAGAGGGGGAAGGTGGGTTTGTAGAATACATCTGTAATCCCAGCACTTGGAAGGCTGAGGGAGAGGGAAGGAGGTGGGAAGAACTTTGAACATTTGAATCTGAGCGTGAATTGATGTTATAAGTGACCACCCCACCCAGAGCCATAGAGAAAACAGTTGTGTTTGTCCAGGTTGACCTGCTGCCAGGCTCTTAAAAGAAAAAGACAAACAGTTGAGGTCGATGATGCTGGGAATATAGTAATTATAGTCCCAAATGGAAGCTATTGACGGTTCACCTGAGGGAAAAGAAATTCATTAGATCCCAATGAATTATGCCCTCTGGTCAACTCTAAAGATAGTTATAGTTAAATGTACCAGATAGATGGAGAATGAGGCCAAGGAAACAGAATGCTTGAGCTTGAGACTTAAAAAATAGTCCAGGTCTGACAGCCCAAGGAAGGAGTGAGGAGGCGGAGGTCTTGAGATAGGTTATCAGTGTGGCTACTGAGGAATTTCTGGGTGGTCAGAAAATAGCTTGGAGGGAGGTGGCAAAGGTCTCCGTGATTAACAAAAATTAGAGAAAGGATGCCTTTTGTGGGTGGGAAATAGGTTATATCACCTCAGCCTGAACCCGGTACCTGGGACATGAAAGCATAGATTCCCATCCTTGCATTTCTGCAGGGAAAGTAGCATGTTCCAGAAAACTGCGTTTCTCATGGGTTCTGAGAACTGCTGGGAGAAAAGCCTGGAGATAGATGTTTGCAGACCATGGTCAGCAATGCTTTCCTGGCCTAACAAGTGGGTTGCGACTAAAGTATGCCTTGCATGTCAGTTCTTTTCCATAGCATAGTGAACAAACAAACTGGTGGTCCTGGAGAGAAAACATGCTCCATCCTCACTGGTGATCAACACCGTGCCCGCCCACAGCTCCTGTGAGCACCGCTTAGATGAGCAGGTTCTTTGTGTTCAGTGGGGAGCACCCATGGGTTCATTGAGGAGCAGGGGCAATTTAGAACTCAGAAGTCAGCCTGAAAAAGAAAGGCAGGCCACCCCTAGGTCTACCTGAGAGTGGGCTGAATCTTTTGTGGGCTTCCAGAAGACCATGAAGAACTCTAGAGTGGGAACAAGCATGCTGACAGACCTACCCACCCTCGGGGCTGGGCCTAAGCTGCTCTAACGTAGGGTTTTACAGGTGAAAGTGAAGCCACTTGTTTCTCTACACCCAGGTTCTAGTGTATACATTTGTAAAAGCCAGTCTTCTTATAAACTAACTCAAGGCAGAAGTACTTGTCACATCCTAACAGTCAAGCTCAACCCTGTAGTGAGAAAACTCTAGAGTCTGGAGACTATACATTGAGCCATCATAAAATCGCTGATGTTTTAAGTGTGTTCCAAAAAGAATGCACCCAGCATCGTTTTATTGTCTTCTGCCCAATGAGAAAGCACTGAACAGTAGACTAGGTGCTCACCGGGGCTGTGGGCAGGCACTGTGTTGATTACCAGTGAATATGTTTTCTCTCTAGGACCACCAGTTTGTTCACTATGCGTTGTGTATTGAGTAGTTGTGTGTGAATAGCCATAACTTAGAAAGAAGTAGGAATCTCTAGGTCATGTCTATGTTTACTGAAGTTTGGAATGTATCTAGCCTATTAACACCTATTTAGTCCAAAATAGAGTACACCTATAGTACACAGCAATTTCTACTAATTTTAAAGTAGTAGAAAACTGTTACCTTGTTTATATTCTGTTATTGCAATAGACATTTTAAACTATAGATTCAATGAGGCATTATCTTGAATATTAGCGCTTGAGGAAAAGTGAACCTAACTAAGAGGCACAGTGCATGAGGAGCAGGGTATGAACCGAGTCGCCACAGCGGATGGTCAGGAGCTGCAGTGATCACTAAAGGCCTTCCTTCGCGCGTGTACCTGTAATCCTTTAATACTTGTGTAGTTGGGGTCTTGGTTTTGATTCACCAAGACAATGGAGGAAGAAAAGGGGGCAGAGAATTCTACTTCACATAACTAGACAAGAATTACCAGAAAGTGGGGGTAAGCAAATTAGAAATGTGTATGCGAGAGAGGGGTAGATAGAGTCAATGCCAGTTGTTATTATCTAGCTGGCTAATTATCTGTCCTAAACCTTCGACTTTACTTATAAAATTGAGACAATGATCATAATTCCGTCTTGTGGATGTGTAAGACTGAAAGGGTATTGCAAACACATACCACTGCTCTCAATAGAAATCGGTCATCATTGCCATTCTTTCCAATGCTTGACAGGTTCCAGTGAGAAGTCAGCTGCCTAAATTCATGACCCTGGATAGGAGAATTATTTGACTGACCTCTAGATGGCGCTAGTAGCCTGGGGTCGTTAGAGTGAGTGAGGGTAGACAAGTTGGCTCTAAGGAATGTGGAAGTAGGCTGTAGTGGCTCCTTGATGTCCTTGGTTGGTGAGTCATCTTGTTGAGTGAGAACTACCCTGAGAATGAGCGGGGAGATTGGAGGCAGAAAAGTAATGGGAGGAAGATAAAATGAAGCATGTCTGTGATATGGGGAACCGGCTCACCCAGCACAGGAGAAAGGGTAATAAGACAATGGGGCCTTCTCTCACTCAGTGCTGAGTCACAGGGGCAGACTCTGAGCAGGCCAGGAGTTTTGAAGCTAAAGCAGAGCTGCGGTGGTTGTCTGTTTACTGTGTCTCCCATCCTCACTTTTTCTCTCCTTCCCCACCCCACCCCACCCTCTCTCCTGTCCCTTGGGCCTCTGCCTCTACCTTTTGCATGAACAGTGTCAAATCTTGTTTCCAAAACATGGAGATTTGCAAGCGCCGGGTGAATATGTATGACACAGTGAACCAGAGCAAAACACCCTTCATCACACACGTGGCCCCCAGCACATCAACTAACCTGACCATGACCTTTAACAACCAGCTGACCACTGTCCACAACCAGGTGAGTGACAGACACTAGGGAAAGGTGGGCAGGGCTGGCTGTCAGTGGGCATCAGGACTCAGATTTCCCCAGCAGACCCAGGGAGGTTTCCCTGTGCTGTCTTTTTGGGTCTGTAAGCTGAAGTACTAGCTTCCATGATTAGTTTTTTAAAAGGCCAAGAGTCTGTCTGTCCTAACTACTGCTTCCTGAGATGGTACCTCTTCCCGTTTTCCTATGAGCAGATGTGGGAACAGAGCCTTCTAAAAAAATTTCTAGAACCAGTGTGAGCAGGAGCCCCTCCCAGCACCCCTGTGTCCTTATGGCCTTTGTTCAAGAGGGGTAAAACTTGTCCATTCTCTAAATCATAGAAAAGCCAGCTCAGCCAGCTCCTAGGTCCTGTCACTGCAATCCTAGCAGCTTTACCCAAGGTTTCCTTCACACAGACCCCCAACCTTCTGCAGACTGGAAGATTTGAAATGGGTACTGGATGAAGAATCCCCCATCCTAGTTCACCTGCCTCCAGCATCTGTTACTCCCAATTTCCAATCGTACGAGTCCCCAAAGAAGTGTTCCCAGACTTCCCAGTCGCAATCTGTAATGACAATGGCGTGCGTTCCTGTGTGTTACTCTCCCTTGAGCAACGCCTTCAGGGAAGAGAAATAGATATGTAACCCTAATGTGTGAACCCCATCACCTGTGTGTCCCTTTAGCTGGCTGGCCCTCCTGTCACTGATAGTCACTGGCCCCTGCTCTCCAGCACAGTTCCTACTCTTAGCTTAGACTCTGGAATCTGCTGCCCCCTGGAGGCCATCAGCTCTCGACGCTGTCTGTAGAGTGAAGAGCTCATTGTCCTGGCAGCCCTGAGGCTTTTGCATCTAAGGCTTCCCAACCAGAGCCACGGAGGTTTCCTTCGTTACCTTGAGCTTGCTTCTCCCATCTGCCTCCCTAGGAGACTCTTGATCCTAACTGCCTAACTGCAAGTCCCTTGTCCCCATCTGCCATCTGTCTGTTCCTTCCATACCCAAGGGTCTAAGAGGGCACGTGGGAAGGGAACCCTCTGATCATGTGTCGGTCAGGTGAATTCCCCTTGTCCCACCAGCCTTTCCATGGACATCTTCATAGGCTGCAGACTGAGGGGCTGGAGGGCCCTGACCACAACAGAGCAGGTCACCTCCATGTTTTCCATAAGACAGGCAGCATGTCCATTCCAGAGATTTGATAAACACAAAGGCAGGTCCCGCATAAGAACACCCTCTCCTCCGTGGCACTGAGAACTGCAAAGTTGGACTGGAGTAGAAAAGGCTGTTAACATAGTGTAATGGTGGACTTGAGCTCTGAGGGAATGAGATTCTACCCTACAAAAGCATGATCCTAAGAACAAAGCCTCCATCATCTGAACTTAGAAAGGTTGGGCCCTAATTAAATATATCCTAGAAACAAGTTATTCCGGTTATACCCTAGACCTAAGCACTAAGGCATGCTTTCCCTCCCCTGATAATGTTACTGAATGTTCACATGGCTGACAGAAAATATTACAGTGTCAGACTTTCTTCAGCCTGGCATCATTCGGCCCTCCCAGCTTCCATGTGGAATAGGTATTGTCATTGGCACTTTAGAGGCAGGGACAGGCACAAGGCATCAGCCCTCTTACCTAAGGCTGCCTGCTGATGCACGCGAGACAGAGTCTGCTGCCAGCCTGCACTCCTGCAGCGCAATAAGGCTTCTTCTGTGTCAGTGACCCCGTGCTGTCCCTTCCATGAGGCCCTTGGAGTTTTTGTGCTCATTCTAAGCATTTGGATGTTGAGAAGCAACAAAATACACCTGTTGTTCTTTTGCTATAATTATTGCCTATGAAACACAAACACGAGACTCAGCACCCACATGGAGTTCATTGAGAGAGGGGAGAGAAAGGGGGTACCTGATGGCCAACCGAAAGCAGGAGAGAGAGAGAAGAGAGAGAGGCACGCTTGCTTTAAAAGGGAAACTTGCGCATGCGTAACTGAGTCCCCTGGCAGCCAGGTAAAGCTTGAGCAGCCAGGTAAGTCATGACGTAGAGAAGACATGGCCATGAGCGTCCCGCCCATCATCAAGGGCGGGGTCAGCAGACTGCTGGTTCCCAACAACTCCTACAGCCTTATGTTAGTGAAAGGACATAGAACTAGTTCTGTGTTGCTCTTAACATATAACCAGTAGAGTAACCACAGGATCTTTCCCAAGTGCTCACTAATCTGTAACTGTTTATGTCTCAAGGAAGCTGGGTCAATAAACCATAATTTTATGTACTTTCAAAAACTGGTCCCAGCCAGGTGGTGATAGCGCACTCCTTTAATCCCAGCAACACTCAGGAGGCAGAGGCAGGTGGATCTCAATGAGTTTAAGGCCAGCCTGGTCTACAGAGCGAGTTCCCGGCCAGCCAGGGCTGCACGGAGAACCCTGTCTTAAAGAATCACTTGGCCCCATCTTTGCAACATAGGTTTTCAGTGACCTCGCTTTTTCTTCAGTTGTCTGTGTTAACCAGGACAGCTGTTAGCAGCCCTTCCTGCCCCTCACAGACAGCTGATGGCACTCTGTCAGAACATGAAGGACAGAGTAAAACTCTTCCTCACCCTCACACACACTTCTGCCAGCTGACCCATAGCAGCATTGGAAACTGAGGGAAACTATGCCCATGCCCATGCCTAGCGCTCACACTGGGGACTGGTGCTCACTCACAGCAGGGTATGCGTCCACTTTTCTCTCCTTGACTCTACAAAGAGCTCATCATCATTGTAGATTCCTCTCAAGAAGCTCATGGTCTCCATGGTGAAATAGGAGCTAAAACAGATCCAGGTACAGGCTGCACACATAAGAGCCCAGTAAGGCACACAGACAGAGGACCAAAGTAGAACCCAGGCTCTTCTCCCAGAGAGGCGTCAGGATGCTGACTACACTGCCCAGCACACTATCGTGGAAGTTGATTAATACAGTCTGCTAGGGAATGTTCCACTTTGGAGCCCTGGTACCCAGGCTGGCCCCAAAACACAGAGGCTCAGAGAAAAGCCTGAGCCAAAGGATTCCTAGGAGATGAATACCCTATGCTCCTAGAAATGTAGGAAAACAGCAAGTAGACTCATGTCCTGAAGGGAAGGAGAGCTGACATTTATCAAGGCAGGTAGCAGAGGTGCTTAAGACAGCAGAGAGTACTGGGCCCAGAAGCGTCCAGCACATTCATGGGGCCATGAACGTACGTGCAGAGCAGGTTGCTGATGTGCAGAGTGGTCTCTAAGAGGATGACAAGGGTAGAGAGGCATGGCCTCTTCCAGAGGACCCACACTGTGTCTCCAGACCATCTGTAACTCGAGTGCCAGGAAACACTGCTCTTTTCTAGCAGGTACACACGTGCTACACGCTACACAGACATACATGCAGGTAATCCATACGGAACTTGTGGGCTGGCAGCATAATACATGTGCACATCTAAAACCCCTCGAGTTGGTAGAGCCTTGCTGGGGCAAGGAGAAGAAAGGCAGGGCTCACCTTTTCCCACCCTCCCTGTCATATTCCGCTGTAGAATCCACGGCATACAAAGGCTCTCCACCCAAACCTGGCCTTCAGATGTGAAGCAGACTCTCATTAAACTATTTTCTGTTGTTTGTTTTTCCCCTCCTGGGGTGGAGAATTAATTGGAGCTCATGTAGCCCAGGCTAGCCTCAAACTCGGTATGTAGCCAAAGATAACCTTAAGCTTCTGATCCTCCTGCCTCGGCCTCTTGAGTGCCGAGATCACAAAATACACAGAAGATTAGCATAGCTGTTTTTATGCAGTGCTAGGCATTGAACCCAGGGTTTGATGCATGCTAGGCAAGCACTGTACTAGCTGAGCTACATCCCCAGACCCGCAATCAGTTTTTTAGACTAAGTAGTGTGGGCCCCACAAATGTGAGGGCACAGGTGCCTTCCTCTGAGGTGTCAGCTAGATTCCTGCCCCTTTTTCTTTCTTTCTATCCTTTCTCTCCCGGTTTGTTAGTTCTCCTCTAGATTCATTTATTTGATTTAGATTTGTGTCTCCCAACATAGCACCTCCCTCATTTTTTATTTTGTTTATTTTTGTTTAACCCCATCGTTCCTTCAGGCTCCCACCCCCACCAGCGCCACTCTCTCCTTAGCCAATCCCGAAGTCTCCATACTAAACTACCAATCTACACTCTACCAGCCCTCAGCGGCATCCATGGCCGCGGTGGCCCAGCGGAGCATGCCCCTGCAGACAGGAACAGCCCAGATTTGTGCCCGGCCGGACCCCTTCCAGCAAGCGCTCATTGTGTGTCCGCCTGGCTTCCAAGGTAAGGTCAAAGTGGGGTTCTAACCCTGGCGCCTCCTGGAGTGCTCAGCACCAAGGGAGAAGCCCTCTCCTTTCCTCCCTTTAAATGCTAGCATCACTGAGTCTAGAGGACGCTCTCCTCTTGCCACCAACCTAGAAACAATGCGAATTGTGCTCTAGTACCACATCCATTTGTCCTCGCCAGCTGCCTGCGAAGAGGCGAAGAGGCACGTAGTCTGGCCGCATTGTTATGCTGATGTCAGCTCCAGCTCCCCTTGCATGAAATGCTCTCTGAACGTTATCTGTAGAAAATTGCCAGTCTCTGACAGCCAGCGTGGGCCCACTCCATGTGGAGAATAGACTGCGTCTGAAAAGTGCCTCCCTGGGCCCCCTCCCCTTTGGCCACGATCCCAGGGTTTTTTCTGTTAGAGAAGACGATGTACCTCATCGCTCTTTACAGGTTTTGGCAAAGCCCCATGTGAGCGTGTACACTGGTGCTCAGAGCTCGTCTGTACAATGCCGAGAGCCGGCCACTCTGCCCCAGGCGTTTGCAGTGACACTCAGTTGTGTCTCCACGAGCAGCGCTTGTTTTCCTCCTGTAGTTTCTCATCTTAACTGTCCTGTTTTGAACCATACATAATTTAATTTTTGGAGGGGTGTGTTTGTGTGGAATAGGGGGACTACTTTTTAGTTGGAAACTAAAAAGAAAACTCCCTGTGGCTGAGCAGTAAAGCTCTCAGTGGTTAGAAGGGTCTCTTCAGCGCTCAGTCACTCACCTCCCTCCTGTCCCTCACCCATGTCCTGAACAGGCCTGCAGGCCTCTCCCTCCAAGCATGCTGGCTACTCAGTGCGGATGGAAAATGCTGTTCCCATTGTCACCCAAGCTCCAGGAGCTCAGCCTCTTCAGATCCAGCCAGGTCTGCTTGCTCAGGTAATTCCCTTCCGTATTGCTCACATTCCACCATCCATGTTAATACTTTTCCAAAAGACACGTATCTCTACTGACTCCCTCCCTGGTAATGGGGTAGGAGCTCCCAGGCATTGGAATATGTCAGTAATGTTCTAAGTGATCCCTGAGTGAATTACCTCCCTAAGTGTCTAGTGACAATTCCGAGTAGAAATTTAGATACAGTGAGTCTGGGGAAATTATTATTATACCTTGGTAAAGCAAATTCATCTAGGAGACCTAGGTTTTAATCCTAAATCTACTAGTAATTCTCAGTGACCTAAGGCAAGTCAGTTAACATCTCTTTGCCTCCAATTTCTTTCTTGTAAAATACAAGTGATTCTTAGAGCCAAAGGAGCCCTGGAGATTATCCCTTCATTTTTAGAGTTGGGATAAAACGACTTGTACAAGCTATGGGCTGGAACCTTCCTTTCTAAACATATAGGTATTCTAACTGTGGAATGAGATCTCAAAGATGAAAAATGATTGAAAGTGTGTAGTGTTACGTGAGTTTATAGTAACAGTACTGGGACAAAGCCAGAAGGCAATCCTTAAAGATACTTGAACTCAAATAACGAAAGGATTGTCTTTATGCCATGCACTTTACAATTTTATGTTTAACCCCCACAACACAGGAAGATACCCGTCTCTACTTGACAGATATGAAAACTAAAACATGGTTTTGCTCATAGCCATACGACAGTCGGGCATGGTGGCACACATCTGTCATACCAGTGCTCAAATTGTTAGTTCAAGGCCACGCTAGGCTACAGAGTGAGTCTGGGTCATCCTGCACTACACAGTAAAACCCTGTCTCAAAACAAAAACATTACACAGAACTAAATACCAGAACCAGGACATAGTCTAGACATCTGGCACAAATGTCCATATTTTCCTACCATCGTGACTACTTTCATCTCTCTACTGTCAGGCATCAAGGATGGCTTGACCTGTTAGTGTCAGTGTTGCTTTTAAATAAGGTAGTTTTCCAAAAGATTCCCCCAAAGTGTCTCAAGTAGTTTGTTTACAGAAGTGCCTTTCCTTGTTTTGGTTAGGTGGTCAAATTGTGTGGCTCTGTAGTCCATTGGCCTCTTTAACAACAGCTGTCTTGATATCTGGTAGGGAAGGCCCTGCTCTTTAATAATTCTTCAAATTTCCCTTAGGTATTTGGTTTGTTTTCTTTTCCATGTCCATTTTACCATCATTTCTCCAGAATAATGTTGGTTTCAAAAAAAAAAAAAAAAAAAAAAAAAAAAGGAAAGGAAAGGAAAAGGAAACTAATATGCGGCTGGAAAGACGGCTCAGCAAGCAGTTAAGAACACTGGCTGTTCCCCAGAGGCCCTGGGCTTAATACCAGCACCCACACGGCAGCTCCCAACCCTCTATAACACCAATTCTAGGGGATCAGGTGACTCCCTCTTACGGCTTCTGCAGGCTCTAGCACACATGTAGTGCACAGCACACATGTAGTGCACAGAAATGCACACAGGCTCTTATAACTTAAATTAACCCGTTTCTATTGATCTATGTGATGCCACCAGGCCGGTGGCTTTTACCTGTCCCCTACATGTCCCACTTCCATTGCCTCCAGCTGGCGACTCCCCCTTCCTCTTCCCAGAGCTCCTTCTGTCTGGAAGCCCTGCCTGTACCTGCTGCCCAGCTAGTGGATGTTTAGCTTTTTATTAAACCAATCACACTGACATAACTCCACACAGTGTGATTGAATATTCCACTACCCCTCCAAGAAGTGTTTCACCTGAGTGGTAGTCCTTTAGGTGTCCACCTTTGGACAGCTGTGTTCAGTGAGAATCACTGAATGACCAAAACAAGCAGAGACGAGAAGAAAGCACAGAGAACTTAAAGCACTATACACACCCGTCACACCCGACAATTAGTCATTCAAGGAAGGGCATAACCATTTTTCATCTTGTGAGGACGGAAGCTTGAGTTCCTACTAGTCTTCTACTAGTTCCTACGTGTTTTAAGGAATTGAGGTATTTGCCATTTAAGCTTAAATTCACAGATAAATTCATTATTTTATACCGATTTCTCTCAGGTTAAGGCCAACACCAGATAGTCCATGGTCTCCAAGTCATATGGAGTGGAAATTAAATCCGTAAAGTGAGACTCTACATGCTAACTGACAAACCATAGTCAAGTATCAGATCTAGGACCCTAGATCGAAGGCTTCCTGAGGGCAACGAGCTGTCCCCATCTGACCCAGCTCAGTTAGCACATAGTTTACAGAACAATCAGTGGGTGGATTTCTAGAGAACTTCAAGTATTGTTCAATACAGCAAATTCATTAAGAAGTCATCTTTAAGATGAGTAAAATCTATCCAATATCTCTGTAGCCTTATACCTATTCATCTGTTGTCTCTCAGGTTTGTGTGTGCATGTATAATTTATTTATTTTTCTTTTTTTAAGATGTTATTATATATACAGTGTTCTTCCTGCATGTATGCCTGCAGGCCAGAAGAGGGCACCAGATCTCATTACAGGTGGTTGTGAGCCACCATGTGGTTGCTGGGAATTGAACCCTGGACCAATGGAAGAGCAGCCAGTGCTCTAAACTGCTGAGCCACCCTCCAGCTCTCCCTTGGTTTTTTTGAAGCCAACAACCAGTCCAGACTGTCACACTCACAGATTAAGTTCTGGACTCGTGCAAACCAACTAGGTCATTAGCAAAATGTGATGGTTGTGAACACCCTCTGTCTTACAGCAGGCCTGGCCAGGCGGGGCCCAACAGATCCTGCTCCCTCCAGCCTGGCAGCAGCTGACAGGCGTGGCCACCCACACATCGGTGCAGCATGCGGCTGTGATTCCTGAGACCATGGCTGGCACTCAGCAACTGGCTGACTGGAGGTAAACAGGAAACCCTTCTGTGTTGAGCAAGTGTTTCTGAGAGGGGCGTTGTGTCCACCACTGGCAGAGAACATCCTATGCGCTATGACCACAGTGTAAAGAGAGGTGGTTTAAACAATGTACCAGGGTGCCAAAGATTTAACTTGATCAATGTATAGTTACTGTCGTTTTCTACACAAAAGTTCAGTTGTAGCTTTTACACACCAGTGCAGCTCAGACCTGGCTGGGTTTTTCTCAGAATTGAGTTCCTTTCAGAGAGCAAGGGTTCATCACCAGTGAAGGATTATACAGAAGAGTCCCCAGAGCCCTGCCCGAAGCAATTCTTGAACGTGTTCTCGTGAAGTTTCGAGACACATGTGCCTGTCTGTCTGGGCTCCCCAGGGAAGGCTTGACAGATGCGGTGTATTCGGAAGGAGAAGCTCTAGCATGCTTGTTGAGTGTGCCTCTACAGTTAACAGCGTGTCTCACAGAGAAGAGTTCACCCTCCACAGACCCCAGGGACTCTAGCCACTGCCTGCCAGCACCCTGCGCTTGTTTGCAACTGTCCACGCAGCTCACTGACTCCCTCGTGGACACCCTGCTCTGTTCTCATAAGCACTTGTCACTTTTCCTCTGGCCCTCGCCCCAACACCACCTCAATGCCCCCCTGGCGCCAGCAGAGAGCCATATGAGCCCTCCAATCGTCCCCAGCTCTGTGGCCCCTTTGGGCTGTCCCTTCTTCTGCAGAAATTACTCCCTGCTACCCTCTGGTAGTCTGTACTCCATCCTGAGGGTCCCCCTCGTTCCTTCTCTGAGCATAGAGTTCTTGGTTGAATGTGGTAGTATATTTTTGAAATCTTGGCACATGGGCTAAGGTACACACGAGGATTACAAGTTTGGGGACAACCTGAGTTACACAGTGAAACTCTGTCTGAATAAGTAAATAACTCTTGGGGAAGGGTAGACAGGTGGCTAAGCCATGTGCACTGCAGCCTTTTCCTTCTCCATGTAAAACTACTTTCTGACCACAGCTACAGTCTGTGCTCAATGGAAGTACTTTCAAACCAGGCGAAACTGGTTTCTGTTCTGGCTCTGCAAGACCTGGGGCAGGTTATTTAACTTTTATGGCCTCGGTTTCCTTTTCAGTAATGTGGGGTCATGATGCTTACCTCACAGGGTCGTGGGGCATGGGTGGAGAGGAGGAGTGTGTCAGTGTGTCAGCTAAAATGAAACACAAAGCACTTGGCCTGTCTTTAACATGCAGTCTAGCAGAGCCTGAAGATAACAGAACGAATACGCTTGGCATCTTCCCTCACCCGTTCAGGACAACTCTCACTCAGCAGGATTGCCTTTCTTCAAGCTCATTAGGAGTAGCAGCCAAGTGGGAAGCTGTGTGACCTACGGTTGGGTCCCCCCGCCCCCCGATTCTCCTGAAAGACACTGTCACCACCGCCACATCGCCACATTTCCCTTTGTCCTCCAGGGTTAGAGCTCGGTCTCAGCAAGATCCATGCACTTATTCATGCATATTTCCCTACCTGCTTCCTTCCGCCTCTCTCCCATCCATTCTTAGCTGGCACTCTCTGCCGCCCAAGAGCATCCATAACTGCGACCAGAGAACAAAAGAGGGGCCAGTGGGACCAGTGCCCCCTCCTTTCCAAGAGAGAAGGCCTGTCTGTGGGGAACAGGCGGCAGCGAGACGCCCGCGGCCATTTCCAAGGCCGCACACAAGTCTGAAAGACGCCAGACCCACTAGAAAATGCTCATCTTCTTCCCTTACCATCCCTTCCAGTTACAAAGATGGACTTTGATTTTTTTTTGAAGTTTAAATGATTCCTTAGCTGTTAATTTTACCGTGTGTTAAATGGGCTTTTATGAACAAATCTTTGAATGAATCCCTGTAACCGTTTCTGCTGGAAAACAAGGCTTTAAGAACCATAAAGTCTGATGGTGAACTTTAAAATGTAACCCATTTCCAGGGTGCAGGCTGCCAGCATAGTTCTCTCTGCATGCGTATTAATTTTGATTTAATACAAACGCCACACATGTCTAGTCACCCTTCAGTTAATCTGATTGTTCATTCAGCAAGCGTGTAATTAACTGATCAGCTGCTACATGTCTGAGCATTGTGTTAGCCATGGGAGGGAGGGGGGAGTTGTTCAAAAGAACACTAACGATTCCTAACCCAGAAACATGGCTCCCAGGCACCAGTTTGTTTTCCACATTAGCCACAATGTCCTCATTAATAAAATGCCATTTCTGAGCTATCCTACCTACTTCACAAAGCAGAACAAAAGAGCCCATTGAAGTTGCTATGTAAATCCTAAAGCAAAGTGTGCGTGTTAACGACCAGCATAGTCACCTGCCCAGGGACTTTAAAGGCTGTAGGAGCTACTTATCCCATCTCTCTAGAACTTGACATTCTTTCCCCTGGAAAGTCCTGGTTCTCATCAACCAGCCTGATTTCTCCTCCTTCCTCAGCACAGGACTCCTGTTCTATCTCTTCAGCCGCCTCCCAGCGGAGGGGGCAGTAACAGCAATGGGCACCCTTTATCTGGGGCGAAGCTTCGTCTTACTAAAGAGCTCAGCTCCTATAAAGACCACTAAGGGGCCTTCTCCTGTTTCCCTTTCAGGAACACACACGCTCATGGAAGCCATTACAATCCCATCATGCAGCAGCCTACACTCTTGACTGGACACGTGACCCTTCCAGCAGCCCAGCCCTTAAATGTGGGTGTAGCCCATGTGATGAGGCAGCAGCCAACCAGCACCACCTCTTCCAGGAAGAGTAAGCAGCACCAGTCATCTGTGAGGTGGGTCCTGAGAGCCTTGGGGGGCAGAAACAGCTGTAGGTTGAAATGCTGCGCACTGCTTGGAAGGAGGGATTGCTGGTGCACTATCCTGGCATGGTGCAGAGAGCAGCTCTTCCTACAGAGCTGGGGGCACACTTTATGGTACATGGAATACTCCAGGGTTTGCTTAAAGCGTTCTCTCTGGGCTCTGTGCAGCTGCCAGCCCGCCTCTCGACTCTGCCCGGCCCCTGGCCCTCTGGCACTCTAAGGTGGAGGGGCCTGAAGTCATGGTGTACCTGGTGTCCTGAGTGCGTCAGGCCTTTTTACTAAATGAAAAGTAATAAAGCACAGTAAGGGAGATTTTGAGACCTCAGGGATGGGTCCAAAAAATGCTGCAGTGGAGGAAAAAGTGGGCTCAGTTCTGCACACAGCTGGGCACTGAGGGTTTGCAGCCAGAGAGTAGTGTCCAGGTCGTGTAGGGAAAACAGCTAGGAGACATCAGAAACTGGAGGGTTATTCTCTGATGCTGAGTAGCTAGCTCTCATCCAAGGGACAGTGAGGATGAGAAATATGATCGGATGGATATCCAGAGGATGGGAAGGGCCCCCGGCCAAAATGAACTATCCAGGCTCTTAGCTGAAACCAGACTTTATAAAGAAGGGCACAGCTGAGGAGGTTCAAAGTCGGGTAAAAGTTGGCCACACAATCTGTCATCTTTTCTAGAAACAGCAGCCCTCAAATTACAGAGATATCTTTTTCAAAAACACTAGAAAAAATGCACTTTCTTTAAGATTTGAGGTCAGAAATATAACTGGTAACTTAAAAATAGGCCCTATAGCTAGCAAGTTAGATTTAGATCATGGAACTACACAGCTGCTTCCACATGAACACGATTGGCTTGTTGCGTAAATATAACTTTGGTGACTCCCAGATGCTTAGCTGTGGACTGCTAACATTTCCCCTTCCCCTGAACTCTTAAGCCATCAAGACTGATACAAGGTTCCATGTTACATGTCACTTTGATGAAGACAGACATAGAGAAAAGTTAGAAGAACCGGAGACTGGCCATGAATAAAGGCATCCCAGGGAAGGAGCCTGAAGGGAGGGTGGGGGAGAGAATAGTTCTATATCTGGGTTGTAGGTGGAATCTGTAACCGTGTATTCGTCAATAACTCATCAGACAATTCAGAAGGCAGGGTTTTAGAGTATATAGTATCAACTATAGACTCCAATAAACCTGACTTTAGAAAAGAGGCTTCTAAAAATAAACAGGAGCAAAAACCACAGCTACAGCTGGCCAATAGATTTAGATCTTGTAAATTTGGAGTTGCTCCCACAAGGCCCCTGGCAGGAATTTAGATGCACATATTTTTTTGATGGGGTGCATTTAAAAAGAGAAATCAGATACATAAAAAGTCTAGTTGTTCGATTTTGCTTTTCTGTTTCTGTGATTAAAAAACTGGACAAAAACAACTTGGAAAGGAAAGTTTACTCATCTTACAGGTTATCTAGTCCATCACCCAGGAAAAGCCAAGGCTGGAACTAAAAGCAGAGGCCATGCAAGAGCACTGCTTACTGGCTGACTCCCAAATCATCCTCTTCCTTTCCTATACACTGCAGGCCCACCTGCATAGAAATGTTACCCTCTACAGTGAGCCAGGCCTTCCTAAATCAATTAGCAACCAAGAAAGATTCCCCACAGGCCAGTCTGATGAACACCGATTTCTGAGGCTCCTCTTCCCCGGTGTGTCAAGTCTATCCATCATACTAGTGAGTCTTGTTTTGTTCTCTTTTTTTTTTTTTTTTTTCCTTCTTGCTCATATAGCCAGGTGCCAGAAGCTAGATTTGCCTTCTTTCTTTCTCATTCAAAAATTAATTCAAGCAAGAACTGATTTCCCTCAAGCTGGCATCCTTCTTCATAATCCCTTCTTAGGGTATTTCTGATAACACACAGAAATTCTGCTTAGATCAGTGGCAGCTCCCCAGAATGCTTTTGTGTGGCAGCCCTGTGACAACATGCCATTGGAGGCAGCAGAAACCACTGCTTTGATCTCTATGCTCCATCAGGCCCAGCCAGGCGCTCTCCCAGACTACTGATCAGACAGAACTGAGCTTAGCATTCTTGTTACCACCCTACTGGGTAAGATAGTCAGGACCCTTGGCCCCACAACCAGTTCAGCAAGCTCCTCCCTGTGTTCTCACCACCCAGCTGCTTTAGGTGAGCACACTGCTTATGCATGGCAAAATCAATACTCACCATGCAAGTCTTTTCCTCGATTCTTTGTTGTTACTGTTTTTTGGGACAGGGTCTCACGTTGAAGCTCTGTGTGGCCTAGAACTCACTATGTATGTATGTGGATGAATCCTGGCCTCAGATTCACAGAGATCCGCCTGCCTCTGCCTCCTGGGTGATGCATTAAGGGTGTGCACCACACGTGATAGATTTGCTTCTCTTTACGATCAGTCCCCAGCGAGACTGTGAGGAACCACACAGATGCTGTCCCTGTGTAGTGATGCAGCAGACATGCTTTTTCCTGAAGCAATACTGAGTTGATGCTGTACTGTAAGCGCTGAAACTGTAAAAGCGATAACACGCATAATAGAGAGCCTTCCTACCAGCTCCAGAGAGGGCTTGATTCCAGCTACAGACAAAGCCAAGCCCATGTTCACCCCACCATTCTCATTGTGCTCTCTCTCCACATCGACGGCACTAGACTCTAAGGACTTCCATCTTCACTGTGTAGGTCCTAACCAGGGTCAGCAAAGGGTTGGACGGAAGAAAAGAAGGTAATTGTTCCCTAAAGTTACCAGAACTAATATAAACTTTCAGGTTTACCCATCCAAATTAACAAGTTCCTTTTGGTGGGCTAGAGGGATGGCTCACCAATTGAGAGCACTGGCTACCCTTCCAGAGGACCCAGGTTTGACTCCCAGAACCCCATGGCAGCTCACAGCTGTCTGTTACTCCAGTCTCGGGGGGTCAGTGCCCTCTTCTGGCCTCCTAGGGCACCAGGCATTACATACGTACATAGGTGCAGAAGAAACATACATACACATGAAATAATGAATGAATCTAAAACTAGTAGATAATTTTAAGAGCGTTAGAACCATACTACAAAAGTCAGACTTGGCTTATCCAGAATTTTTTAAAAGTCCTTTTAAAGTGTACCTTCTCCCTATTGTATTTGTCACAGTTTTTTGTTTCTTTTTATTACAGTTCAAATTGTTTGATAAGCCTTCAATGAGGATGAGGTCAAAATCTAAAAAGGTTTTGTTTTGCTTTCCGTTGTACACGAATCTTGATGGCCATAGCTTTTCCAGAAGGGAAAGCTGAGAGTCAGTCCATCTGTAAATGCTTGCCACACGAGCATCAAGACCTAAGTTCAGTCCCTAACCCTGCACAGAAAGCTGAGCACAACAATGCACACTGTAACTCAAGTATTGGGCGCAGGGGTCAGAGACAGGCTGATGCGGGGGGCTTGGGCAGCCAGCTGAGTCAGTGAGCTCTGGTCAGGGAGAGGCCTTGTTGTGAAAAACAAGATGGACAGCTGCTGAGGAACATGTCCCTGGGGCTAACCCCTGGCATACACGCATACACACACCCACCAGTGAGGCTCTAGAAACTCTGTCTTAGCCTAGCAGTGTGGCTCCATTCTAGAGCGCCTGTGAAAGCCTGCATTCAGTCCCTAGCACTGGTGGGAGGGGTATATTAAATAATAAACCAACCGTCACCAAGGAAACCAAAACCTGTGTGCCAAACACCCTTTTTCACCACTCCTAAAACGAGGCGTGGGTACCATTCAGAGAGGACAGATGAAGCCCAAAGCTGGGGCTTAGCCCTGAAGATTATCCCACGTGGCCATGTTGGATGAACTAGCTAACTCCTGATCAGGGTAGCTGCCCCTAGAAGACCAACTCTGGAGAACAGGTATGTGGGCCCAAACCAGAGCCCAGAGAAGGTCCTGTAGTGACTGACTAAAGGACTCTAGAGGCGCCACGCCTTCTGTCGGACAGGGAAGCCAGCTGGTCTGGGCTTCTGGTGTTTTCTGGAAGTTGGGCCCCGTGGATGGCGATGTAGGGCCTGACGTACGTATGTGTTGTTTTGTCATTACAGAAATGTCTCCACCTGTGAGGTGACCTCCTCACAGTCTACCAGCTCCCCTCAGCGATCCAAGCGTGTCAAGGAGAACACTCCGCCTCGGTGTGTCATGTCGCACAACAGTCCAGCCGGCAGCACCTCAGTCACCTGTGGGTGGAGTGACATGGCCTCCAGCACCACCAGGGAGCCACAGCGGCAGACGATTGTCATCCCCGACACCCCCAGCCCCACAGTGAGTGTCATCACCATCAGCAGTGACACCGACGAGGAGGAGGAGCAGAAACATGCCCCCACCAGGTGAGGCTGTGTTTCGAGATTTTCAGGGTAGAGCAGAGCGCATGCATGGTGCCATATACTGCCTTATCTGGGGTTCTGGGCCATTCCGTGAAACATGACCATTCCCTGCTGATCCCTAAAGTTTCATTTTGCCATGTTCTTGCATCCACAGTTATTTCATGAGAATGACAGGTAGGTTTGCCGTACTTTTTCAAAACCAAAATAATTTTGATTGAGTTTGGCCTTAAAGAGCAGTTACAGGTCAGTTCCCCTGGAGCCCGGGCTCAGCTGTGCGCCCTCAGCCGGCCTGGTGGCATTTCCCGAGGCTCCCCCTTACTCCTGCGCCACAGTCCAGGCCGCTTGCCCTTTGTGGGCAAGGGTGTGGTCCTGGAACTCTGTGGAACCCTCCACAGACCCTGAGAGGTGCCCTCACCTGCTGTCAGTCAAGAACTGCTTCATCGGGGCCTCGGTGGTCTGTCACATGTCACATGTCACGTGTCACGTGCACCTGCCTGCAGACGAGGTGGACACACAGCTGCTACAGGACCAGGACGCAGCAAGGAAGGAAGCCTTCGGCAGAAAGTTTCCCTCTCCTTACTTGGTGTCCAACTGAGGACAAGGACACCCCTGCCCAGTGCTTCGGGTGTTTTGTCGATGCTTTTTCCCTTTTTAGTTGACCGGATGGAAAGGGTGATAGGGACAACTGTCCTCCGTTGAGAAGGGAGGGCGAGAAAACCGGGAACTGAACCGCCCCAGCCCCTGTCCTCTGTCCCGTCCCTGAAGATGGGGATGGAGCTTCCTGGACCTATCCAGGCAACGTGTGATACATTGGGGGAGAACGAAAGAATCTGTCCCTCATAGGGAATAAAATTCATGATGCAAACTGAAAGAAAAAGTTACAGTCCCTAAACATTTGGGAGCATGAAAATATAAACATTGGGCTCCCAACCCGAGGTTAACACTTATAAGTTTAAAGCTGCTGCCTCGGGCTATTGAATGTATTCCCAGTTCTTCAGGGAATTTCTCTAACATTGCCTTGGCTCATTCAGAATTTGAAGGAGTTGTCCAATTAATCAGAAATTTCCCTGTGTCCGATTAACCCAGTCCTTTAAACTGCCAGTTGGCTCTTCACCCAGACCATTGCTGTTCATTCCTCAGTAGCAATAACTCATTTTACTCTGTGTGTGCTCCCTAGGTGGAGGAAGAAATATTTACTGTATTTGGAAGGCTGCTAACCCTGGCACCAGAGCCTCTTTTCTGCATTTGGCAGCCAGACTCCAGCAACACGTACCTTCCTCTTGGGCTGCCAGCTCAGGTGGCCCAGATAGATGTCCACCAACCTTGTGTGTCCACAGTCTCACAACCACACCCTGCTGGTACCTCTGTATCAGGAACGAGGCCAGGGAAGGGGGCCTGCCACCCCAATCCAGAGCTCCCAGTCATCCTTGTACTTCCCGTGACTGGGTACAAGGTTCTGTGTTCACAGTCAAGCCCAAGTGATTGGTTCCTGATTGACTATAATGCTGCTAATTATTAACCATAATGCTTTTGATCAAGTAATAGATTTCATGCTGAAGACCGACTGTAGCGCTCTCATTGTAGCAGTCCCTGAGGGGGCGGCCCTCCCTCCCTCCCCCCTCCCTCCCTCCCTCTCTCCTCCCTCCCTCCCCCTCCCCCTTCCCTCGTGAAGTTTGGTGGTCTGCTCTCACCAGTAGGGCTACTATGTGTCTCATTAGTGTGTCCTTTTTTCCTGCCCAATGGCTGCGAGTGGTCATTGGTGTAGGTCGATAATACGCTGTTGTGTTTTTGCTGGGTACCTGAGGGGCACAGGGTTGGTGAGAGCAGGCACACGTTTTGTGCTCCAGCAACACTTAACCCTGCATCTTCTCACTCCAAGACTGGCTTCACTTTCCTTTGTGGTTTCAGCCCCAAGTTGAGTCAGTGTTCCATCTTTCCAGTCCCGAGACAACCCGAGGGCTCGGCCCTCCCCACCCAGCACCGGCCCTGGCTGGGGAGGCATAAGAACGCTGCGCTGCGCCCTGAGCACAGCTGGAGAAATGCAAAAGCAATTTAAAGACCTAGCTGTCAACTAGATCACAATGTCACTTTCGAAGGCTGAGATCTGAATTGACACTAACTCTGAACACGAGTGCCCAGGAGAGAATTGAATAGAGAGCGGGAGGGCGGGGCGGGGGGGGGGGATGGATGTTATCTCTCCAGCAGCCAGAGCCAACAGGGCTGAGCAGAAGGCACGTGGCACACGGGACTGTTTCCCCGGAGGGAGCGACTGACGTGTGGCAGTTTGTGAGAACTATGATGAAAACGACTAAGAGACGGGTGGCACTGGGAGGGACAACCCCAAATGGAACCCCGTATAGGGACTGCCAGCCTTCTGCAGGGTCGGGAAAACGCGGTGGAGATGCTCTTCTAGTGGCTACTGACGGAAGCCACAGGACCACATGAAGGGCCTCGGCTGCCCACTGTGGGAACAGGGAGCTTGCAGAGTGCATCTTCTGCAGAGATGAGTGGCTGCTGCCTTAGGAAATGGTTCCGTGCCCAAGAGGATAGGGAAGTCTACCTAAAGAAGCAGCAGCCAGTAGCTCTGACTCATAGAGAAGCCACTATGTAATTGGATTGTGTAATTGTGACTTTAACAGTGAGAAAGTAAAGGGACTTAGGATTGCCTGTTCCTGGAAATCATAATTATCATAAAATTTAACATGGTGAATATTTACTGTCTCCACGACTGTAAGATCTTATGTCTGGAACTCCAAGTGTTATGTAAATAAAGGGGGGGGCAGTCTCTCTTCGAGAGGCTTGCAGGTAATAAGCAAGATAAGACATGTACAAATCATTCTGACACAAAGCAGAGCAGCCCAGAAAAACCAGCCAAGTACTCGGGGAAGTAGTTGAGGGAAGAGTTGTAGATTTAAGTGAGGTGGCCATTGTGGCAGAGCCTCAGAGGTGAGCAGATTGGGGGGGGGGGCATCACAGTAGCAAGGCTCATTCATGAGAATACAGACCGTTGGAGAAATGGGTTTGGCATGAGAAATGGTTATTGAGAGATTATTGAGGGATGAAGGATTTGTCAGAAGACGCTAAGGAGCTCAAAGAAAAGCATCCATTCTAGAAAACCAAGAGTTTACAATATGCACCTCAACAAGAAGGCACTTGGCCCTGGGCTCCAGAGCTGTGCAGAATCCCTTGTCCTCTCCATTTCCAGTCTGAGTACTGGAGACATTCCATCCCTGTATTAGTTACTTTTCTATTGAGAGAAACACTATAGTCAAGGCAGCTTAGAGAAGAAAGTCTACTTGGGGTTATGGTTCTAGAGGATTAGAACCCATACAGCAGAGCAAAAGCAGCCAGCAGCAGGAACAGCTAAGACTTAAGTCCTGAACCATGAGCAGGAGGCAGGGAGCACTAACTGTAAACCGTAGAGCTCTTCTGAAACCTCAGAGTCCTCCCCACCCCCCAGTGGCAAACTTCCTCCATCAGGGTCTCTCCTAAACCTCCCCAAACAGCCACAAACTTGGATATTCACATACCCAAGACTTGTAATGAGGGACTTGTCATTCAAACCACCACAATCCCTAAATCTGGTCATCCTTGTCACCAAACTATATTTCACCTTAGAAGTGAGCATCTTCATTGTTCTGTCTTCCCAACTTAATGCCCTACTTGATGATTACCCCAAATCTGGCATTTATAGTTCCCAGTGTGATCCTGAAATGCTGGTTGTTTCTCTAGTGTGACTCAGCCTCAGCACAACAGCTAGATCTTGGGTCAAGGACGCTCACGGAGATAACCGCCTCACCAGTGTCTTTTAGCATCAGCATAAATGACAAACCACATTTTTAGACCTTATTGACGATGTCACTCAATCTCTAAGACTAGATGACATTGTTAAAAGAAGGTCAAGGGAGTATCGTTATTCTTGACCACAAATATGAGCAGTGTTAGTTGCCAAAGCAATGGCAAGTCTCCCACCAATCAGGAGAATTCCAGAGCATGTAGAGGCACATGGGACAGAGTGAATGAACTAGAGGAGTCATAGCAGACCTGCACACATGCTTTACCCACGACCTTGTCACTTCTATTCCCCTTCAGGAAATGAGGGAATTAAGACCCAAGAAAGGCAAATGACTCAGTCAAATTAATAAAGGTTCAAGTAGAAGAATCGGGATTCATTCAGGAAGTGCTGTGCCGTAGAAGAAATTATATTATTCATTACTGACAACATAACTGATTTCTTTTCAGTCACTAGTTTATCAGCTGTTGATTCTGTCCTGCCTCCTCCTGTAACCAATCCCATGATAGCATCCAGTGTGTCCAGGGAGCCCCTGGCCGGGCCATGAGGCCGCCTCAGGAAATGGGTAGAGGTTTAAATCTCCTCACTGTCGCAGAACATTTTAATGAATGTGCAGGCCACTGAAAAGCCGGTGAGCTCTCTTTTTAATGCTTCACTAATAGACTAGGGGATTTTTAAATCATGGCTAGAGACTTGGCATAAAGACAGAAAAACTAAACAATAAACACCTTTTGCTGCATTTCCCAGGACTAAGTAAAACTGGACTTATTTTCCATATTTTAAATGTTTTGATGAGGGAAGCATTCGATTGTCTCTATGTCTTCTTTTACCTGGAATCTTCATGAACAGTGTTTACAAGGACGCATCTGTTTATCCAAACCCTGGTGCCTAACTCACCTTACTCAGAAATGGTTTTATAGAAGCTGTGACATACAAACTTATGTCGTAAGAAAAACATTTTAAGTGTGTGATCAAAGTAATTCATTTCAGCCGATCTGCAAAAAAAAAAATGTTGTCTGCCCATTTACTGAGCCACTTGACCAACCGTCTCTAGTAAGGGAGCCATGTCACTGAGTACCTATATATCCCACACTTGGAAATACACAAGCAGCCACTCGAGGACTGCTCAGCCAACTTTGCCAATGCTGTCACCTCTAAGTATGTAGATATTAGATATAAAAGCAATTTCGTAAATCGCTCTTAAAGTGTT